CCTAAGATTAAGAAAAGACTACATTCACTTGTCCTTATGGTACATTTGCCTATAGACGAATGCCGTTTAGATTATGCAATGCCCCGCAACATTCTAATGGTGCATGATGTCAATTTTCACTGATTTTATAGATGACATCATGGAAGTATTTATGGATGATTTTTCTGTCTGTAGGCAAAGCTTTGAAGGATGCTTATCGAAGTTAGAAATGGTACTTGAATGATGTGTAAAAGTTAATATCATATTAAATTGGGAAAAATGTCATTTCATGGTCCGACAAGGAATCGTACTTGGACACATAGTATCCGACAAAGGGATTGAGGTTGATAAAGCAAAAACAAAAGTTATAAAAAACCTTCATCCTCCGAAAACTATAAGAGAAATATGAAGTTTCTTAGGACACGCCGGTTTCTACCGATGATTCATTAAATATTTCTCTAAAATTACCAAACCGCTAACTGGCATGTTAATGAAAGACGCTGAATTCAATTTCGGCGACGAATGCTTAAAAGCATTCAAACAATTAAAAACAGTTCTTATTACCGCACATATTATACAACCACCTGATTGGAGATTACTGTTCGAAATCATGTGCGACGCTAGTGACTATGCTATAGGCACAGTTTTAGGAAAATGAAAGGATAAAAAGCTTCATGCGATCTATTACGCTAGTAGAACCCTAGATCTTGCACATATGAACTACGCCACCACCGAAAAGGAACTTCTGGTTGTCGTCTTTGGCCTAGATAAATTTCGTTCCTACCTAGTGGGAGCAAATATAATTATCTATACTGATCATGCTGCGATTAGATACCTATTAAGCAAAAAGGACGCCAAACCAAGATTACTCAGATGGATCTTACTCCTACAAGAGTTTGATTTAGAAATCAAAGAAAAAAGGCACTAAAAATGTAGTAGCTGATCACTTATCTAGAATGGAAGGCATTAAGCCTGAACAAGTGCCTATCAATGATAATTTCCCTTACGAGCAACTCATAGCCTAGTTAGAAAACAACACCATTGAGCGCCCCGTAACTCTTAATACTAAGACTGACAAAGTTGCGAAAGCAGTTTACACTAAGAACACATTGTCATGGCACGCCGACTTTGTTAACTATTTGGCCGCTGGAGTGCTTCCACCGGATATAACCTATCAACAAAAGAAGAAGTTCTTCCACGATCTTAAACAATATTATTGGGATGAGCCTCTGTTATTCAAGAGAGGCGCCAATGGTATTTTCTGTTGATGTGTCCCCGAAGATGAAATAGAAAACATGATTTCCCATTGTCATGTTGCTCCCTATGATGGACATGCAAGCACTTCAAAGACTTGCGCTAAAATTTTACAAGCTAGCCTCTATTGGACTAACTTATGGAAAGATGTCCATATTATAGTCATAAACTGTGACCGATGCCAATGCACTGGCAACATCTCCAAACGCGACAAAATTCATCAAAAGGGTGTTTTAGAAGTAGAAGTCTTTGATGTATGGGGAATTAATTTCATGGGACCTTTCCCATCCTCTTTTGGTAATAAATACATACTCATTGTTGTAAATTACGTGTCAAAATGGATTAAGTTTGTAGCTTCTCCAACAAATTATACACGAGTAGTAATTAAGCTCTTCAAAAATATAGTTTTTCCTGGATTCGGTGTGCCAAGACTTGTCATCAGTGATGGTGGTTCTCATTTTATCTCAAAAATCTTTGAAAAACTATTAGTAAATATAGAGTCCGACACCGTGTAGAAACACCTTATCATCCCTAAACAAGTGGGAAAGTAGAGGTCTCCAATAGAGAGATTAAGAAAATATTAGAAAAAATAGTTGCCACTTATAAGAAAGATTGGTCATTCAACTTACACGAGGCATTGTGGGCATATAAAACACCCTATAAGACACTCATAGGAACCACACCATTCAAACTAGTTTATGGAAAATTGTGTCATCTGCCGGTAGAACTCGAGAATAAAGATTATTGGGCAATCAAAACCCTCAACTTAAGTTACATTGCCTCAAGCGAAAAACAAATCCTAGATATTCATGAGTTAGAAGAACTTAAACTAGATGCATATGAAAATGATAGGATCTATAAAGAAAGAACAAAGAATTGGTACGACAAGCGCATACCTATGAAAAAGTACAATGAGGGCGACATAGTGCTCCTTTTTAATTCTATAGTTAAGTTGTTCCCAGGAAAACTTCGTTCTAGGTGGTCCGATCCGTTTGAAATAACTAAGGTTTTTCCAAGTGGAGTTATTTGAAACAATCGGTTGAACAAGTCATCAAGATGAAATTAATGAAGTCGCCATCGAACATTTTTTATTCTATGGGAAGGGAAAGGTAAAAATCGAGTAAACCCGAGAAGGGTGAAATCAAGTTTAAACGACCGATAGATCGGGTAAGGGAGTCTGTTACGCGAGGAGAAGGTATTATCCCCCCACACACCCATAATACTCTACGATATCCACTCTTGTTATTATAATCTAATGGGTGTATTCAAATATAAGCTTAATAGCTAAAAGAAAATGCATGCAAAAGAAAAGAGAAAATAATGTAGGTAAAATAAAGTTGTGCTCGTTCGAGCCCTACTCCAATGCCTACGTATCCCTTTTAAGGAATCAAAGCAGTCGTAGTTTGGCACAAAAGTTTCTTTTGGTTTGTATTTTTTAATGAACAATATTAATTTCGCCTTCTTTCGCAACTCGACCTTTGGAGATTTACGCGTCAGCACAGAAGTGAATTAACATGTTCTTTTGAAAGAGTTTGAAAGAAAATCCCGAAGGCGCAAAACATTTGTATTGGTTGATAGCTTTTACCTTAAAAAAGGATTTGAAAATTGTTAAATGTTTTATGATTTTCCAAGAAAAAAAGGGTTTTAGTCTTAATGCAAGGATGCAAAAGAAAGAAAAAAAATATCTAAGGGAGACTAACCTAAATCTATCCCTAATATTATCATACAATGATTGACCCTAAGGTTGAGTTTTGAAAGGGAAATCTATAACCTATGTTAGCATGTATGGATACCTATCCTAATAATGTCTAGCTCGAAAGCTACTCTAATCGAGCGATCCTAAGGGAACATGGTATAGAAAAAAAAATAAGCAAACAAGTGCTTTGGCAAAAGCACACAAACATGAGCAACACATACTGACTCAAAGGGATGGAGGAAACAAGAGAAATGCTTTAGCTAAGGGGAGCGTATCACCCGAAGCAAACAAGCGGGAGACAAATGAAATAAAAAAGAAAAGAAATGCTTTAGCTAAGGGGAACAGATCACCCGAAGCAAACAAGCGGATAGTGAAGTATCAACAATGGCCATTGTGAACTCCTTACAAAGTGTGGGGGTTGGTTGCGAACCCTTCTCCATATGACCGACTCAATACACAAGATTTGCATGACTCTGAAGCATCGACGTACAACATGAGCTAAGGATGACACAAACTAGAATGTGCGGGGGTCGACTGGACCCCCCATACTTTCCTTCTTTTAAGGACTTATCATTTGTAATATAATATGGGCACATATGTAAACACACATGTGGAATACCTACTTCAAAGGTAGGATTTTAAACAAACACAAATAACATACAGAAAGCGGTGCCTGCTACAGGATTTTAAACAGCGACTTCGAGCGCACGCTCTTTATTTCCTACTTCTCATGATATCTAGAAAGAAGTAAAGTTCTTACTTCTCATGATATCTAGAAAACAATAAAGTGCTGAAATGAGATAAAAAAGAGAAAATACCAAACGAATATCAATCCGTAGCAAAGCGTATCAAAACAAAGAAACCCGACTATCTTCGTGAAAACTTCACCAATCAAAGAAAAGAGTAAAAAATCAAATGCTCGAAATAAGTGTTGAAGCATCATCTATGTGAAAATAAATCACAATCGAAATCTCGAACATATCCGCATATCATACAATAAACCTGCATAAGACTCAAATCTCAACAAACAAAAGTGAATTACCAATCTCAAGTAATCAGATAATCGAGGTTTAATTCCTAAAATCAAATAAAAAAATCTAACAAATTTTTATATTATATAATTTTTGTTATGCGAAAAAAACTCAAACAAAAGAATTATCGAAATTATCCAAACAAAAAATGCAAATAATAAAATCTAGGGGTGCAATCTGTACATGAAGCATTTCTTTATTTGTAATACTATCTTCCAAAAAAATTCAGCGGGCCTGAGAAGTGGTGTATCGGATCAGGGGAGTGTGTAAAAGCAATCTGGGTGCTGAAGGCCCATTGAAGAGAAGTCCATGAATATGTTTTTTCTAAGGCAACATTATTGTGCAAAGAAACAAATACAAGCCTTAAAATTTCGGCCCGACCACCAGCAAGCCGGTTTCATCACTTTGTTGTTGTTATTATATAGAAAAAAACAAAACTGAATGCAAAAGCATAGATACAGTATCGTTTAGGGCTTTAGGTCAAGCGTTTGCGTCTCTTCAATTTCCCAAAATTCTATTCTCTCTTCCTCTTCAAATCGGTGGCGCAATTCATACGATCTCTCCTCAATTTTCGGACGCCGTTTCATAAAGATTATTTTCATAAAGGACCCCTCCCTCCGTCTCAACTTTCCATTTCGTCCTCCCTTCCGTCAATCTCGCAGTGATTCTTCTTCGAATACGACTTGTATCGCCCGAGATTCTCACTTTCTGCTTTAGTCAAACAACCTTGCACCACCGTCTCTGTATCTCACTTCGCCGCCCTCTCACTCAAATGTTGCTTCAAGTAATCTTCCCCGTTATCGAATCAGATTGTCGTGCTCGTGTTCGTATCAAGAAATCGAAGAAAGATTGAAGGATCATCGACCTGTGATGACGCCTAAGACCGAGTTGGAATTGATGAACACAGGTACGATATGCTGCCAACTCTTCTCTAATCATCGCAGATTTAATCGAATAGAATACCAAAAGACTAATCTGATACTTGTGTTCTTTTCATTTACCTTGTGAAATCTTCTTCTTTATCAATGATTTCACCACAATCAAGTTCCGCTCTGCTTTTGTTTATTCTCAACGATGATGAATATCGTGTTGCGACAATATTGCAATTTTGGCGTGAAGATTGAAGCTGGGGATTGTTGATGAGGATACAGAGAAATTGCGGAAGATGATGATGGTTGAAGCGCAAAGATGATGAGAGAGTGCAGAGATGAAGAAGAATGCGGATTGAGATTTCCGAGAGATGAAGATTGATGTAGTTTTTTATTGAAAGGTGAAGATGATGAAGTAGAAAACTGAGAGAATTTTATGGAGATTTCTTGGTGTTTATTAGTGATGACACGACTTAAGAGCAAGTCAACAAATTTCATGCGAGGCTTGAAGATTTTAAAGAGTTGGATTGTAAAGCAGCATAACGAGAAGAAATCCTTAAGATTAGATCCTTTCCATAATTGTTTTCTTGCAAATTCTTGATGTAATGATCTAGTCGTGATGACACGACTTAAGAGCAAGTCAACAAATTTCATGCGAGGCTTGAAGATTTTAAAGAGTTGGATTGGAAAGCAGCATAACGAGAAGAAATCCTTAAGATTAGATCCTTTCCATAATTGTTTTCTTTGCAAATTCTTGATGTAATGATCTAGTGTAGTGATAAACTTTGCAATAAATTTGAATCAGTTTCCCAGTTGTAATTTCCCTCCCATTCTTGCCTTTGGAACTCCAATGAATGAATCCTTTATATTCACTTGAACATGGTGAAATTTTGTTTGAATTTTATGTAAGTTGGCGAGACTTTGATGTTTGAAAGAAGCTGGGAATGAACGATATTGAACTTGAAATCTTCATTTTGAATGAACTTTGAAACTTGAATGGATATTTGTAAATCAATCTTCAAAGAACAAAACCACTCCACTTATAATGTAAGTATAACAATAAATCTACGTCATTATTCTTTGTACCATGATTTAATGTTCTTGCAAATCAACCAACAAACTCTTAACTTGGTGACCAAAGATCCCACAAGGTGCCATGTCTTGAAGAAAACATGTATCCTAAGGAAAAGTTGACTGGAAAAGTCTCTTTAAATTATGATACATAAATCCCTAATTGATGAAGTAAGGAGTACATGATTCCACCATATCAATGCCATAATCAACCTCTGGGCGCTTCATTAACGAATGTACCTTTGAATTCTGAAAGATAGTTTCAATAAAACCCCAATGGAATCAATACTCTTGACAAAACCCTTATCCCAAAAATAGGAGCAGATGATTCACAAAAGTATTTATGCTAAAGCTCACACCCTTTAGGATAGAACCAAATGCTCATCACTTAAGATAAAGCTTCAAACGAAAGTCAAGCCTTTTGTAAGAAAATCCAAGAAGTGATGACAGAACTTGTAACACAAGCAATGGATGGAGGCCCTTAATTCTAAAGGAAAGAGACTCAAGATAGCCATAAGATGCAACCCAAAACCATGATCCTTGGAGAAGAAACCTCAACCAAACACAGTAGTTGAAAAACCTTGACTTTGACTGCACATAGGAAAGTAAGTCCTAATGGCCTTATCTCTTGAGGAGAAAGAAGTTTAAGGTAACCATACGACACAACCCTAGTTCCACACTTCACTGCTTGCAAAATAACCAGAAGAGTCAGAGGTAATAAGCTTTGTTGGGTATATATACCTCAATCACTGTGAAACCCTGATATCTCACAACCACTGAACATTGAACTCCATGTACTTTATGAAATGAAAAATGTATGCTATGTTAATGACCTAATGAAAAGATGTGAACACGACGCTAAGCCAAAGCCAAATAAAAGTACAATTAGGAGGGGAATTTTTTGGGTACAACACTATTGAAATTAAAGGGAAATCTAGCGAACCGTTTATCGTAAACGGGAAGCACTTGAAGCACTTGAAGCACTACCATTGTATAGAAAATAGAGACTATTATGCTAGTTTCCATCTTGCAGAGCTACCCGCTCACTCCCAGATTTATTCACCTATAAAATTATGCCGAACTTACGACATAAAACAAAGCGATTGGTGGAAGACACCTCACTTTCTAGTCTTTTATTTTGATTTACTAATTTTATTCTTTACATTTTCTTGCTTTTATTTTTCTTTTTCATAAAAGTTTTGCAGTATTGTTCTCTAACGTTAACCACTACTAACTTAATTATAATTGTCAACTTACTTCCCTGATAACTTAATTTTTAACTAACCATACTAACTAACGATGCAAGAAGTTGACACCATGGACATAGATTTCATAGGAAGAGCCCGAATGAGGCGTTTTGAGGCACTGGATGCAAGGGAAATGGCACTAACTTTCTACCCTAATGGTCCTACCATGACCACTTTAGGTATTAGAGATAGTGTAATGTTTTTTCTGAGCCAAGTGGGTTGGGATACTTCTCCTTTAAGAAGAAGATTTAGTTCTTATAGAAAGCTGACCTTAGAATTCCTAAGCTCACTCGTCTTTTTTCCCGGCCATGGTTTAAGATTCAATCGAGGCCTAAACACCTTTAGAATATTCGATATTGAATACCGGTATAATAATCGTGAACTTGCTAATCTGTTAGGATTTCCTAGTGGTCCACCTGTTTTTACCTGTACCCAAGAAGACCTTCTTATAGACCGTGAACTTGGATACTTTTGGAATAATATAATAGGAGATAGAAATCCTGAGCCTAATAACATGTTTTCTGAAAGTATTTACAACCCTGCTATCCGTTACTTCCATAAGTTCCTTGCTCACACCATTTTCGAAAAACCGCAAAACATTACTCTGTGTCTAGAGATGAGCTCTTCATCATGTATTGTGCCTCCAGAAACCACCCCTTTAATGCCGCTACCTATATGATAGTTAACCTTGACCGTATTGCTCAAACTGTTCACGCACCTATCTTGGTGGGAGGTCTAGTGACCATGATAGCAAATGCTATCGCAATGCGATAACCACTTCTAAGACTCCACCCTTTAGGTAAATTCCGACCAATGGATATACGGTTCTATTTCAACATTGGCATAATTAGAAATCTAGGCCCTACGGAATTTGAACTTATCATCAACAACCAAGTTATACAACTATTTACCTTACCAAATCCAAGAACATGTATTCATAACCGAAACAACTGACTTTTTTATCTGGAAGTACAACCAACTTCACCTCCCGCTTCTCCTAAAACACCTCAAATCTACGACCACAATGATGCTTTTCTATCTGACCCCGAAACAGATCCTGAAATATCACCTTTCTATCACCATTTTCCACCCACCGAGCAACCTACCCCCTTCATGTGCTTCTGTTGCTCTAGTTTCCTCTGCACCTCCCTCTGTTGACCAGGATACTGCCTTACTTGTTGTGCAAACTGAGTTAAACTGCTTAAGGGAAGAAGTCACTAAATTGCGTATCGAGTTTCATGGTTTTATGGACTTAGTGACGGAGCTAGTGGACCAAATTTTCCATCATATCTACTCCTCTGCTCTCAATACTAACAATAGTGGCTCACATTGCTTGGCATTCTATATTTCTTGATTTTATTGTTTTTCTATTTACATTATGTTTACTTTTCGTTTTTGTTTTTCAGACTATTGTTTTGAAAAATTCAAAATTTCCAGATTATATTAAAATGTTTGGCACTATCTGATATTTACATTTATGTTATGCATTATTGTTACACTATTACTATACTTCATATTGATATAAAATATCTCTATGTTCCTGAACGTATCGCTCCGTAACGTTTATTATTAACAGTTCTCAAAATTAGGAGTTTTTATAATGTGTCGTTCGCCACACATTCTGTGACGACCGCCAGACCCTTATGAAGTGTGCCGCTCGACACACATTTTGTGCCCCTCGGGGCGGAATAAAATCCAGCGCGTGTATTTGTTTCAAACAGATACCAAGTTTTCTCTTTTCTTTCACCTTCTTCCACTATCGTTAAACCCCATTAAAACCCTTTCTCCATATTCTTCACCCCTGACCTTCCCACATCCTCTATTTCCAAAATTATCATTAAACACCATTAAAATCTAATCCTTGCATTCTATATTGTTCTGTTATTTAAGCACTTGAGGAAAAAATATCAAAACCCACAACCTTCTATCAATTTCGTAACCGAACCCATTCCACCTTCCTTGCATCTAATTATGTCTCGAAGAGTTCAACACCTAAGAGAAGAGCCAGACCTTTCCAGAATCGTGTTCAGAAACGGAGAAGCTGAGGTACATCAAGAAACTCAGTACAAGAAGTTTCATCAATGTTTGGTTACCGCTACAAGGTATGTTGATGTTAACTGTCTACGTGAGTTGGGATTATTAGACAATATGCAATGGCTACTTCATAATTCTGACCTATCTTATGTCTGCATATTGAACCATCCAACTTATGAATCTTTGACCTTGTAATTTTTGAGCTCCTTCTCCTACAACACTCCAGCAGATGACAACATGTACCTCACCGGCACTGCAAACTTTAGGTTGTTTAACGATGAATATTCTATGAATCAAGAGGCTATGAGTGATTTGTTACGTTTCCCTCGTGGAGGAGAAATGTACTATTGAATCCCTCCAGGAGCAGATTGGGCATCGACAACATTCGGTCTATGGCAAGCTTTAACTGGTGAGCGACCTTCAAGTTGGGAAGGTACTTTTGCTTCATCTATCTATAATCCCTCCATCCGCTACTTTCATCACATCCTTTCCAACACCATTTTTGGGAGGGCAAACAACAACAAAGTTAATTCCAAAGAATTGTTTTTCCCGCACTGCATCTTCACGCCTAGTTGGAAGATCAATGTCAGTGCGTTCCTCTTGGCACACATCCAGTCTTTCTATGAACGAGGTACTACCCCTTTCTGTATTGGAGGGTTACTCACATCTATAGCACTTGCTTTGAACTTGGGGGACAAACTAGAAAATATGCCTTAGCTACTAGCTTTATTTATTTATGTTGACAATTGTCGTGGTGGACACCTTACTAAGGCAAGAGAAGATGGAAGATACAATCTTATGATGCGGAACAATGTAGTTCCAAGTATTATTTTGCCTAATCCCTAGCTCACTAATGTAACATATATGGATAATTGGTGTTATGATCTAAGTCCTCCTACTCCCGGTGAAAATGTCTAAAATGATCAAGGTGGCCCGAGCAATGCTGAGGCCGATGAAATGGAGCAAGTGCTAGAGCAAGACGCTCCACAACCTGACACTCGCACACATGCTACACAAGTTCCCATCGAGAATCTTGTAGGTTCATCATCCGGGCACGAGCCCCGAAAAAGAAGAAATCAGGGGCAACTAGCTACTCTTGATGACATTTATGCTGAAATGCTGCGACATAATAAAGCTGAAGCTCAACACTATTAAATAATGGAAGCTTAGCATAACCAGATGATGCAAGAAGTCCGACAACTTCAAAGAGATCAGCACGACTACGCCTACTGGCATGACCATAGTATGTCGGAGCTTACTGAAGAGATGTAAGCATTGACTTATCGGGTTGACGGCCTGCAT